GTTCAGCTGTGTATGTGGCGGCGGCGGCGGCGCGGTGCAGAGCCGCCACTGTGTTGTTGAGCTTGCGTGACTTTGTGATCACCCGGTGCAGTACCTAGCATTTTCATCAACATGCAAGCCCCATTCCACTGCCAACGTCACAACCTCCTCCCCCTTAAAACTCCCGCTCTCTGGGGCCCGCCAATCCCCCAGGCGTTTGGCGGCCCCAACGACTACAAGGGCCGCAACATGTACGAGGCGCACAAGGGCATGAACCTGAAGGACGCCCACTTTGACGCCGTCGCGGGCCACTTTGTGTCGACCCTCCAGGAGCTGGGCGTTGACCAGGCGCTGATTGACGAGGCCGTGGCCGTTGTCGAGAGCACGCGCGGCCAGGTGCGCGCGGCTGTGAGGGCTCTTTGATCAAGGGACGTGATTTGTGTGTGCGTGTGTGTGTGTCTGTGTGAGCGTGCGCGTTTGTGTGTGCGCGAGCTATGTTTGAGTGATGTGTAGCGCAGTTGTGCATGTACGATTGGGCACGTGCACTCAGAGTACAGGCTGCAACAGCGAGCAGCCGTTCCAGAGTTGACTCATCTATTGTGTTGCTGTCTGGCAGAACCACCCACGCACTGGACGTGTTGCTCTTGCCCGCGCCGGCTATCTTGTTGCGCAGGTGCTTGGCGCCGAGCAGCCCTAAGCATCGTCGATGCTGACGGCAGAGGGACCGGCATGGGCCGCCCCGGCTGCGGTGCTTTCTGCGGGCACAGACTGCCAGCCTCGTGAACCCTCCACTGCGCCTTGCGCACAGCGTGCTGAACAGCATCTGTCACCACAAACCTGCACCCGCCGCCGGGGCTGTTTTTGGCCAATGCCAGAAGCGCCGCTGTGTGGACATCATGTCCAGGAGCCTCTGTTGTCACTGCCTGAACCGCACCTGCTGGCCTGCGGCATAACTCGCCGCCATCACGCATGTGCTGCCCATGCAGCTACTTATGTCTTATTCGTGCCTGACGCGTTTGCAAGGCCTACCAAGTCACAAGCCTGCCATTGCCTGTGGGGCCCCTCTCCATTGCCCCTTTAACTGATGATTTGCTGCGCACCGCAGGGTGTCACCCTGCTCGGCTCCATCTGCAACTCTGCCGCTGGCCACATTACTGCGACAGCTACTTTTGTCTCAAACCCAATCTTGCACGTCCAGCGCCTGGATCTGTGATTGCTGCAACGGCGCGGCGTGGCGTCAATGGGTGCTTGGGAGTGACTTGTTCAAGCATTCTACAACCTATTTCAGACTCACGGCTGGGATCGGTGGTTGCGAAGGAATTTCGACCTCCCTGGCACTGAGTAAACTATCTACCTGTCAGCCGCTGCCTATCTCCCTACCTGCCATCCAGCCATGGCTCTTCCTAAACATGAGCACTGCGATGAACAGCAGAAACTTGCACAGCAGAGATTGCAATGACACCCAATGGGGACGCAGCAAGCCCACGAGAATTCCCTGGGCTCTGGGTTGAAACTGCGTGGTCGTCTTGAGCCAGTCGAACCACACACCCCGCTACCGTGCTGTCACCGGGTGTTGACCATCCATGCTCGAGTGTGGACGCGGGGCGCATGAATCAGTGACGTGCGTGAACTTGTGACATGCCGTATTTTCATCTCGACTTTGGGGTCACGCTCGGTGTGATCTCGCAATCGAAAGAGCGTCCCTGAAGCCTTGAAGCCCCCAACATCGCTTTACCGTGATTCATGTACCAGAAAGCTCAATATTTGATCAACACCATGCAACACGGTAGCGGGGCCCTGGGAGGCGTGTCAGCCAGGCGCCCCCTTCTTGCAGGTTGTGGCTGCAGGCGCCCCCTCGTTCGGGTAAGGCACTTGCGCTTTCGCCAGCCCGCCACACGGATTACTAGATATCGTGTCTGGAGTGCGCATGGTATCGGCAGCAGCGGCGTGCACTGCTTCTTGCTTCGCACGAGCCAGTGAGTTTCACCAGCCTGTGCATGGCGCGCTCAAGCCGGGTGTGCTCCCTGCTGCCGCCCCATCCTCTGGCGCCGACCTGGAGCAGCTGCATGCCAAGGCACCGTGGGAGCAGTCCGGCGAGCTGGCGCCCCGTGTGACCGAGCAAGAAGCTGCCAATTTGTCAGCCGAGCAGATCGCCTTCTTGGACCGGAAAAGGCGCGGCATCATGCCACAGGGCTCGGTTTGTGGTGGCTGTGGCGGCAGCGGCATTATTGTCTGCCACCGTTGCAAGGGCAGCGGCGTCAACGACCACCAGGTGTGGTGAACTTACTATAATCAGCGGTCTCTGTGTGTGCATCCAAGGATTGCAAGTGCATGTGTTTGTGCACGCACACATGCATGCGATTGTGAGCGCCTGATTGACTTTGTCTGTAGGTTTTTGTTTGATCAGATATGTAAATGTGCGCAAATGTGAGGTGTGCCGCGCAAGTTGCATGTCCTCCCCTACCCACTGCGGTGCAGGTCCTGTTCTTGTGTGTCACTTGGCAAAGCTCATGTGTGCGCTACCTTGATGCTCGGGACACTCTCAACCACCATCACCATCACCCTCACCATCACCGATCACCATCACCATCACCGCCACCACCGCCACCACCACCCCTTCAATGCTACCAAGGCGGACGAGGAACTCTTCTCCGGTGAAGTGCACCAGCAGAATGGTGGGTGGCAGGTGGACAGGCAGCAGGCACGCGCAAGGCATGCACCTGACACTTGCCACTGGCAACAGTGAGTCACTGCAACTTAAACATGCTGCAAATCAAGGAGACTACGTATCCAGGCGCCCGTGTTCTCGTTCTGTCACACGCCTTACTATCGGAGCTGCTTGTTTGTACAAGATGCCCCCTGCCCTGCCCCGCCCTGCCTGAATGCTGATGATTCATGCTCCGCAGGACTGCTGAATGTGCAGCCGTTCTTCAGGAAGGACTGGCCTTGCTGGCTGTGCCGCGGCAAGACCCAGATTGGCTGCCCAGAATGCAGCGGTACGTGCCTCTCTCTACAAATAGGGCTTGTGGAGTGTGTGCACATGTGTATGTGGTCTGCAAGTGAGAAAGCGCCCAGGATTGCATGTGTGCTCACTGCTACGCTCCATCACCTGCGTTCCACAGGAGCTGGCTTCAAGGGCGTGAGCGAGCTGTACTCCGGCGATTGAGCAGGGCGCCCGTACAACTTCAGATGCTGCTTGGGCTGCCAGGCTGCTCGAATTTGGCACACACCTGGACTACTTGGAATTTTTCACATGACTTCTTACATTGCTTGGCAACAAATGTTCGAATATGTTTAGCTGATCTGAATGGCAGGCTTGCTGGTAACGATTGAATCCAGCCGTTGCACAGCCCGGCTTTCCTGGTTCCCGGTAATGCAAGATGCTCAGGCCGCCGCCCCAGCCCCCTGCTTGAGCAGCTCCACAAGCTCTGGTGTCTGGTTGAGGGGGTTGCGGGGGTCCGCCCTGCAGGCGGGCGGCGATGAGGCCGGGGTCAGAATAGCAAGGGGAGGGTTCCAGGTGGGCGAGGTGGCGCCTTGCTTGCCGGCACCGTTCTGCTGCTGCAACATGATTGGAGGCCGGCGGTGGCACCCGCCAGCCTGCTCAATCTGACATCATTTCCAGCAGCCGCACCCCCTGCGAGGAGCATCTACTTGCTTTAATGAGAATACCATCTCCACCACCCAAGCGCTCACGTGAGGTCCGCGGCGGTCTTGCCGTTGACGTTCTTGGCGGCAGCGCTGGCGCCCGCGTCCAGCAGCAGCTTCACCAGCGCGGGGCGGCCGTAGCCGGCTGGGCGGAGCAGGAGGGCGGGCCAGGTCGGGTCAGCACAGCAGTGGTTTTGAGAGACGGGCAGTGAAACGAGCGACCGCTCCCAGGCCAGGGTTGCGTGCGGCAGCACAGACAGGCGTTGCTTGACCGCTGCAAGGTGGTGGCGATATCAAGCAGTACAGCAGATATCTTGCACTCAGCGCAGCTCCCTGCTTTACAGCGCTGTGATCATCATTTTTGCTGTCTGCACACGGGCGCAGCCCACCCCTCTTGCGCGTGAGGGTTCCCACCAGCGATTCACCACCGCCGCGGCTGCCCCACATGCTGCAAGCAACGGCTCCCAGGGGGTGTCCCTGCAACTGCACCGCTCACCCGCATACATCAGCGGGGTGTTGCCCTTGGAGTCGGCGGCCTCCAGCTTGGCGCCCTCCTTCAGCAGGACCGCGGCAACGTCGGCGTGGCCCATGCCAGCGGCCCAGTGCAGGGGTGTCCGCTGCTCCTCGTCCGCCATCGAGACGTCCTGGGGTGTGCACGCGCACGCGTGTGCGTGCGTGTGAGCATGGAAAGGGATTCGGTCGAGGTGGCAGGTGACTAGATGATGTGTGTACGGGGCATGGGTACCAGAAGTACCGAAATCTGTCAGCAGCAGCCGACAAGGGCAGCATCCCAAAGGGCAGCAAAGCGATACTTAGCAAGGAGGTAAGGCAGCAACCACCCACCTTGCCAATCGCGATGAAGTCCTCCACCGCCTCCAGGTCACCATACCTGGCGGGAGGGGAGGGGGATGCGTGGTTGGAGTGCTGGGCGGGCGCCTTGACCAAAGCGGTGGTGCTGGCCCAAACGCGGCTGCTTGCCTTATGCCAGTGTCATGTGATGGCCCCTCGCATGCGCCCCTGAATCACCTAAAGCCGCATGGCCACAGTCGCAGCTGCGAGACCTGTCAATAACCCCAGCACCCTTATGACTGCTGCAGTTATCACCACCGCCCACCATCACCCGTCAACGACACTCGAACAGCAGCAGTCCACTCACTTGGCTGCGTCCCAGAGGTTGTCAATGTCAGGCACCTGCGGCACAGTTACCGGCGCACCGGCCGCAGCGGCTGCGGCTGCGGGCGGCGCTGCGCCAGCCGGGGGCACGACGTCCCCCAGTTTCTCCCCGAGCTTGGACAGGAACTTGGGGTCGTTCCAGAACCTTTGTGGCCGCAAAGGGGGGGGGGTCATGGTCGTGCAGGAGTCGGCATGGGAGGTCAACGAATATGCAAAACTCACGCGGGCGCGGATTGCAGGGCCGCCTGTGCTAACATATCCCCGCAAACAGCTTGCTGCAGTGCCTGGGGCGCGCCGCTTGCACAGTGACCCCCAACAACACTCCCAGTCCCTGGTCATTCAAACCGGGCATGCAACCAGCTGAGATCTCCTCATGACGCCCACGACACATCAGGACCAGGCACACGCATAGCGCCCCGGCGGTCCCCCGCGCAGCGCCGCCCGACCCTCTCTCTCCCCATGGGTCCGCCCTGCAGCAGGCCCCGCCCACTTCATGAGCGCCCCCATGCCGCCCTTCTGGATCTCCTCAAAAACGCCCTTCATCTCGGGGTCCTCCCTCAGCTCTGCCAGCCGCGCCTGCAGCGCCTCGTTGCGCATCATCGCCTGCATCTGCGCCATCTGCGCCTGCACCTCCGGCCGCTGCATCGCCTCTTGCATCGCCTGTGGGTTCAGGGGACAGGATGAGACGAGCCCTGGGAAATCGGGACGCCGTGCATATGCGCGGCATGGAGGTGTGGCGCTGGCTGTCTAACGCAGCTATGAGCGAGGCTGGCCGGGCCCGTCCGAGGGGCAGCCAGGTGGCAGGGGCCGGTCAGGGCACGCAGCGACATGTCCGTCCCATCCTTGAGAGCGCGCCTTGATCCGCTCGGCTGTGGCGGGGTCCTCCATTGCTTTCTTCATCTGCTCCTCCATAG